TAAGTTTGTCATCATCAAAAAGGGGGAGATTGTAGATACAAGGTATGTTTTGATGATGACAAAGTGGCAACAACAAAAAGAGAATAGCTTTGATCAAGAGCAAAAAGCATCAACCAATATGGATATTGAAGATGTATGATGTAGCCACACAAGAAGAGTGATGTCATATCAAAGTGGCAAGATCATTGGATAAAGAGCAACAAGGAATAATTAGAAAAACTTTGAATATTGAAGAATCAAAGTGATGATGTGGCTGCCACGATGATACTATTGATGATTCCACGTCAGCATAGTTTTGATGATAACAAACAAGTCAAAGAAGATTGCTTGAAGGTGAAGCAACATCCAAAAGAAATCAAATCAAGAAACATGCAAGCCAAGCATCAAGTCAAGTCCAAGATCTCAATGGTATATTTATCTAGGACTTAGGAAAATGTGTAAAGGTGTATAATATTATAGCATTGCATAAGCTCAAGTCATACACATCATCAAATGCATAAATGAATCTTGAACTAACAAGTCAAACATGCATCTAAAGGTTTTTCAAATGACTTAAGCAAAAAAAAATGAATCATGGCATTATAACAGTTACATATTCATGGCCTTATACATCCGTTAAGAAAAGTCAAATCAAGTGGTTTAGATCGTTCAAAATTGGTTTGGAAAGAGTACTTACATAAAATATATTTTTCTAGTTGATTTCCATAACCAATCATATGCTTTACAAGTCATAGAAACCATATTGAAAGAAAGGAATTTTCGAAAATGTGTAAAAAGGTCACCGCCATGAAATATCCGGATATCTGACAAAGAATATCTGGATATCAATCTCCGGATATCTGATACTAAATATCCGGATATCACATATCTGGATACGTGCGCGATGAATATCCGGATATCTACTATTTTAAACGGCTATAAACGGCTACAATCACATATCCGGATATGTGTTCGATGAATATCCGGATATCTACTGTTTTAAACGGCTATAAACAGCTAGTTTTCGAATTGGGTGCCTATATAAACCCCCCTAACATCTCAAATACATATAATTCGGTCATTGATCATTCACCAAGTCTTTATCACTCATTCTAGCGTGCTTTTGCTCACATATTACTCATTTTGATCATTGCATAGACTTGAGCTTATCTTTGTTGTTAGGCTATACACCTACTAGTTCTTCAATTTGTAATATCTGTACTTTGAGAGTACATATCCACTCTTTATCACCTTCATCTTACTTCTTGAATCAAAAGGGGAGTGAACCCTTGTGTTGGTCTGCCAAGAGACAGAAGTCTTGGAAAGGGGAGTGAACCCTTGTTAGTCTACCAAGAGACAGAAGTCTTGGGAATTTGTAAAGGTTTGTCAAGCACCCGTGAAGCTTGACCGTTAGTGAAAGATTTGATCGAGCGACTTCAGTCTGGACAGTGGTAGTGACCGAACCAGGATATATCAAGTTTGCAAATCTCTCTATCCCTTATCTCTTGCATAAGCATTGATTAATCATTTGAGCATATTTAAATTCATATCTCATCAAATATTTACCTGATCTATTTTTCTGTTATTTAGTCACTACACGCTGTAAATTATTTAAATTAAATAAATTAGCGTTTCATATGTCAAAGTGTACTTGAAATGATTATTTAGAAACTAGAAGGGGGCTTTTGCGAAAATCTTGTAATACTCAATTCACCCCCCTCTTGAGTATGGAAGTCACATTCCTAACATAATTCACCTCCAATCCATGATTTAAATCATCTAACATTCACCAAAGTTATTTAATAGTATGACACTATAGTATTTTAAAGTTTCAGGTAACTTTTGTATAATTGTTTTTTTACCAGGAACATCCACTAATTGCACTTTTGTCCCAAAAAGTGACTTTATTCGTTTAATTACATGTTTCATCTAATTATCCTAATTCTAATTTGATTCCCAAATTTTATGGGCTTAGTGGAGTGTATTTTGCAAAGTTAGCCCAAGTCCACACAGTTTTTGCCAAATTATCATTTTACCGTCGGCGGGGATTTAACCCTAATTTTAGAATTTTCACTCAATTAATCTTCTAATTAGACATTAATTTCTAATTAAATGTAATTTGATTATTTGGGTTATTATATAAACTGATCGATTCATATTGACTTTAATAACATTAGTATTTAGTGGTAGGTATTAAAAATATTTAATTCATAAAAAGAGTAAATACTAAAAAAAATTAATCTCAATATTAGCATGATCAAATGCTTATGCTTTTAAGAAAAAGCATGAACAAACATGCCTTTTTTTTTCATTGCCACTTTCTCTCACCATGTGTGTTGTAACTGAATTGTGACGTGACGACGAAAAATTGATAATAAAAAATAATGGAGTCGCCACCAAGGTTTATTAGGAAAAATATTGGAAAAAACTTTTTTGTTTAAGAAAACTGGTCTTTGAAAATAAAAATGGATTTGAGAGTAAGTTACGAGTAGGAAAGGTGTTAGCACCCTACACCATCTATTTTTTAAAAAATAATTACCTTAAATTAATTATACGAATTATTAATAAATTTTCAAAATATTTGTTTTACCCTAAAGAATTAAATTAAATAGAATTTGTTATTTAGAAAGAAAATTAAATTAGGAAAAAAAATTGGGCTTAACAGGAAAGGTCCCGCTCCGACGTATCCCTCAGTATAATATGAAACTCAAAGCTACGTCGTTATGTAAAAAATATTTGTGTGTTAGTTGATTTTAGTTTTTAAAATAATTTTAAGGAAACTTATTTTAATGAATTTGAAAGTTTTGGATTATCAAGTTGTCGCAGCTAAAATAACCCGAAATGATAGGATTAACAAGTTGTCTGAGCTCTGCTGATCCTTTTAAAATAACAAAAATTAAAGAGTAACAAAATATGTTTATTTTATGTTGGCACTTCAGCCAACCTTATGTAACAGCCTGTTACGTACCGATATTGTTAACATTGATTATGATATTAAGCGCAGTTACAATCACAACAATTCATTTATAAAAATGCGAGTAAACTATTTCCTTTTAGCTACGCGAGCATTTAAAACAATAATAAAGCGTAATAAATAAAAATTGTAATCATAACTGAAAATTAAACACGAAATAATTAAAACAATTGTCTAACTATCATACAATACTTCTCTCAAGTCACTAAGGGCCTGTTTGGCATAGGTATGTTTGTGAAAATGCCAGGAAAGGTAATGTGGGTATCGCCTTTACCCATGTTTGGTAGGAGATTTTTTCATTATTTGCCCTGGCATCCAGTCTACCCAGGAAATGAAGTTGTCAAGAAATTGTGATCTAGTTTCTGTTCTGAAATTACCTCTGAAGGTGTGGTATTTGTGAATTATCGGAAACAAGGAATTGTAGTCTAAAATTTTCGGACATGTCTGCCCTTCCATTTTGACAGCTGGTCTATCCAAGTGGTCTCTCTTTCTTCATCAGAAAATATCGTCGATGTTGTACTGTGAGCAGCTGCTGTGGATGTGAAAAGCTTGTCTACTCACCTCCTTCGACATACTCACCTCCTTAGATCTCGTGAGTTTTCTTGTCTCCGACGTCGCGAGCTGTGTCCATGGTTTGTGTTTTGTGATTTATGTGGGGTTTATGGTTGGTTTGGAACCTTATTTGCAGAAGTTCATTTGTTTTTCACTCTATTTGTTATTTTATGCGTTCTTTGCCTCGTTCATCCAACCCACCGCTTGCAGATGCAACAAAAATGTTGATGAGTTAACTTGATTTTTGAATTGGATCTTCACTTTGACCCCATTTTCTCACTGTCTGTGTCCAATTTTTGAAGTGTTATTTTTACAAATCTGAAATGTGGAGGGGTTACATATTGGTGTTGTTTCTTTATTTAATTAAAAATTTTCTTCCATCTTTATTTTAAGATAACTTATTTTATTAATATTTTGGTTGATATGTATTTAATTTATTGACTGGGTTTAAGTGGTTGGCATCCATTGCATTTTTTGTTTTGATAAGTGTACATCATTAGCTCGGTACCTGTTTGTGTTTTGTAGAACAATGATTCCAAAGTCATTGTGTTCTGTTTTGTTTTGTTGGCCGCGTAATCCATCCCTACTGGGTTAAACACTCAACACTCAGCACGAATGTGAAGAGGGATGAATTAAAGAAAAGGATGGTCAAACAGATACATATACAGCCAGATAATTAACAGAATCTTTATTATTCCATAAACTCACTTTGCTTTTCCACGTGTTCTTATAATGACTTCCTGTTGTATATTTGCAGGTTCTTAGTCCCTATTTCCGTGCTTACATACAAGCAGCTCATGAATGAATAAGCACATGCTTTCTTGAGGACATTGGTACTTGCATATACAGAAGATCATGAGGAAGAGCACAATCTATTTAAAATACCCAAAAGATGGTGAGCAAAATGCAGATGAAAATATCCAAAATTTGCTGCTGGAATTAATTGTTCTTGGTGCTACTGCAGTTGAATATCCAACTTCAAAATGGAGTGCAATATGAATAATGTTTTTTCCTTATTTTTTTTACAAAGCTAGTCATTGTGTCATGTATTCGTGGATCTGAAGAATGTGATGTATATAGTAATTTTCTATCTTGAAAATGTATAGAAAATATTGGATATTCACTGCCCTTCCACTATGTAACCGTGTATTATTAATGATAAGATACCTATGAATTATCAGTACCAACTACTCCAATATCAAATCACTTGGTCAATTATATGGCTGGTACAGATGCATTTCCATAGCTGGTTATGAGGTTAAAGTTGGTTATGTATGGTTGGTACCATTCCATTTACCATGTCTTAGTCCTACCACTTCATTCATTGCAGAACTCAGTTTTTGTGGAGTACAAATTGTGACTTATATTTGTGGAGTACATGATTCTTAGTCTGCGATGGTATAAGATATTCAATTCCACAAAATCACAGCAAAAAACCTGCATGACATTACTTATTCAAAATAATATATATAACAAGATAAGAATGCAGATGTCAAAGGGATCTCAGTAAGTTCTGGTCATTTTCTATTCCCATAGGAAGTTACAGATAGATAAAGTAAGTTTCTGAGTAACATCACTGATCATTAAATCTAACCATAGACTTTGCAAGTAACCATAGATTTCCAGCTGGATATAATAGTTATTTGGCTGTGTTGAACCCACAGATTGTACCTACTATCAATACTATTTTTTTGTTGGTTTTGTCATCATTTGAATCCAATTGGATTTGTATGAAATATTTTTAAACAAATTTGAATTGGTTATATGAGGTATTCACAGTTGGGTATTTTTAAACTTATTAAGTTTGACTCAATAGTTATTGGGATGGAAAGAGTATTCCTGACGAACTGCATAACATTGCTGCAGACCTTAAGTTAGCCATCCGGAAACAAATAGCTGAAGCTGGAATGAAATATAATTCGAGCAAGACCTTCTCATACTATGTTGGATGTTATGGACACAAGAGTCATTCTCGAGGCTTTTCCTGCTAGATATAATTGGAATGGTTAGGAGATTGGATTTGATATTTACTTCTCAGTGCCAAAAGGATCACATTGTTAGCCTTTGGAAGTATAAAAGACTAATACATGTAAAAGCTGATCACATTATTTTCTTGGCAGTTGGCACCCTGTATGGACAAGCTAGCAAACTTATAGCAACAACCTAGAGGACTAAAAAGTAATGAAGTAATAAGTCGAGAAAAATATATAGAAGATAAATAAGACACAATAAAATGATTGACTCTACAAATGAAATGGCAATTGAATGCATCTTTTATTCAGGAATGAAAAGTATTGGAATCACAAAAAGATTGGTGGCTCATATACAGATAAATTATTAAGATGGTCACACTAAGACCATAGAAGCTAATAAACAGTAAAAATAAGACACTCAATACATATTTCCAAGACTTCGCTAGAAAATATTTCCAACTTTTTCTTCTTCTAGTGTTGGTGGGAACATCAAAATCTCCAAGATAATTTGTTTGCAAACTCCTCTACCAATGCCTTCAATCAACCAACTATCTCGTATGCATTTTGGCTCAATGGGTAGCTGTCGGCAACATTTCAACACACCTGACAAGATGTTCCATATGCCTTGTAACATAGTAACTCCATATCGATGAAAAAAGGTTGTAAAGGAAAGAGACAACAGAAAATGGGGATATGGAAATGCACAAAACACTTACCACGAGTACGAGTGGAGTACAAAAATCACGAACTTAGAATATTCAAGATGAATATGGATGCAATGCTGGAAGAATAAAACCTACAAAATTACTCTTTTTTGCTCACTCGTGTTTTTGTTTCTAACGGTGTCTACACACTTAATTTATGAGGTTATTTTCGTAAAACTCTCCCATTTTCCCAGCAAGATTTCATCATCAACCAAACAGCCTCTCAGGAAAATAAACCAAAATTCCCGATAATATTTTAGCCTACCAAACAACTTTTTTGAAACATTCCCATGAAAAGAATATTTTTATCATATTCCCAATAATCATAATTCCCGATGCCAAAAAAAATTCTCCTCTACCAAACGCCCCCTAAGGGATTTCCATAAACCCACTTAGCCAAAATATCATTTTTACAGTTTTTACCTATCCGAATATGGTTCAGTATTTTGGATACTGCAGACAATCCACTTGTCATGAACTTTTCATCTTTTAGTATGTTATTCTAGACTTAATTATCTTTCCAACAAGCTATAACATGCTCCCAAAAGTTCTTGTTTGCTCCGGTTATCACCGTTTGAAGTTGGACAAGCAAATCTGCCAGTCAACCTCAAACAGAGCTCCAAATAGCCGTCACCCTTTCAACGATTTCGGACAAGCCACTCCACCAATTTCTCTCAAATCTTTATACAGTAAACTAGACACCTCAATCTTCAATTTGACATATCATGCACCTAATTTATCTAAGAATTGAGGCAGGAATAATTTTCCCAAAAGCAGGTCACGACAGCCCCAAGTGCAAGGGATTTCTGGACAGTCTGTGTCCAATGGCTTCTACAGGGCAGCATGCTACTCCTATGATTCTCAAATTTTGACAGAAGGTAGTTGACATCTCAATCTTCGAAATGGTGTATGGCAAGTCCCTATTGGACTTCTGTGGAGGGAGATATGCTCTCCCAAAATCTGCCATTTTATAGAAATTTCGGCAGCATCTCCTTTGTTTTTCCAACATATCCCACTTTTGTAAAAGTGTGTTAACTATCATCAAGGGTACCTAATAGACACGAGTGGCACTCAAGGACCAACAATGCCTTGGTGCTCTTACAACCCATCACAATTTATATCCATTTGCTCACTTTACATTTCATTTCTTAAATTATAAAACTTAAATAATTTCAATCACTTTGATTCAATTACATGCATTCTTTAGACATAAAATATAAATCATATCCTAAAATAGGCCTATTGCCCTTTCAACATATATCATGCTTCAAGATTACACAAGGTCCCAATATTACAAATTGCAAGTTCTCCAATGAAACATAATACAATTTACATCTCCAATTACAACATAATAATTCCTCAAATAAAACATGATAAACCGTCAACTAAACTTAGACAAAATATGACATGAACAAAGATGACAATATGAATAATCATAGATCAACATACAATGTTCATGTCCTAAGTCTAATCTAGACCAAATGGCCAGAAAATGCAAAATGGGCTCTAAGCTCTCATGCTCATCCTATGGGCTTCTTGCTCGCCGCTCCAGTCCCGCTGCTACTACCTGAAATAAAGTCTCCAAAACGGGGTGAGATATACTGATATATCTAAGTAACCCAGAGGTTCTGTAGATTACTCCACCCAATGACTCACTTAGATGTACATTAACAATATACCACAACATCTAAAAAGGGATAAAGAAAAGGGATTTAGTGAAGTAGAGAAGCATAGGAAGTAAAAATACGATTAAGCTGGAATGGTCGATGCCAAAGCCACGCAACATTCCTACGGGTTCTCATCCAAGGAAGTGTTCCCAGAACATCAATCAAGGCATCCTCTATCCATATACACCCGAGACATTCCTAGAGTGCTCCTCAATGGATAACAACTCCATGACCTCAGGTCAACTGGAACTCCCTCATAGAGACCTATCCAGTGGAAGTCCATAACGCCCGAAGGCAACAATCTACTGGCCAAAGACATGGTACATCCTATGTATCACTATACATACAATAATGCATGAGCATGTCATAATATACTATTAATATACATTTCCAACCATTATCCCCAAAGGGCATGATGGAGCACAGACGGGGACTAAACCCCAGTACCAAGGGATTACCTGATGAAATCTCTCTCTTGGTAGCTCCAACTCACAGTACCACCGAGCTTTGTTCACAAGAAATGCCTATACATAGGCCATTTCCATTACAATTATAATCAACCAAGACATATACATGCTTATTAAAGTATTCATGCATATATTCATAACAACTTACCACAATCCCATTGGTCAAGGATCAAAGGCAACCCACCAAGTTCAAAGCTCCGAATTTACGTCCATGGGAGGCAAACTACAATGATCACACAAAGATCATCAATACAAGATGCAACCAACTAATCATAAAGCACCAAAAATCACTCCCCCACAAGCATAGGTTCGGCCAATGGCCTTAAATTTACCAAACCATTTTCTTAATTTTATTTCAATTTACCATTAACATCCAAGGTTACCACAACACTTATTCAAGCCCTATTTTTCATCCAAATCCACCATAACACCATTCTCCTCAAATCACCTTATTTAGGCCGAATGCACACACTCACACACTCCAAATATTTTTCCTTCCAATTCAATGCATCCGCTCAACATACAACTCATTTAAACACCATTCACAACCACACAACATCAAGTATACAATTTTTACATCATCAAACCATATATGCCCTCAAATGGCTGAATTGTTCATGGTCATATGCCTAGGGTATTCAATCCAATTTCACACTTCCACACATCATACAATCCTATAATCAACTCATACAAATACTTCACAACTCAATTACACAATCCTACAACCAAGCCATTTCACAAAGTCATGAATATCAACATCAAAATTGCCTAAGTTACCAAATAATTTCTCAATAATTTTATGAGTTCAATCACTCTAAAACATCATTCTAAGCCACTTTTATCTAATACACATTTTCAATTTGAGCTCTCTAACTACATCAACCCATACATGCATACCCTAGGTCACAAAATTCAAATTCACCAAATCAACCAATTAAAAATGTGGAAACTAACTCACAAGCAAGGCCAAAGACTCCTCCACAACATACCAAAGCATTGAAGGATCAATCAACTCCAAGAACCTCAAAAACCTTCACTTGGTCGCAGCTGTAAATGTGGAATTTATCCAAATTTAGTGAGTTTCAAGGCTTGTGGATGATATGGTTGTGTTCGGATGATCGTTTACTTGAAGTTTGATGACAAACTTTCTTGGATTTGGTGGCTAAATCACCAAGGAATCAACCAAAGTCTCTCCCCTCTTTTTTTTTGAAAACTGCGGGTTTAGAGAGAGAGAATGAGTGAAGGTGATGATGAATAGTGATTGGGCTTAGGTGTCTTAAGCTCACTTAAGTGGGGTGGGTCCCACCGCCATCTCACGCGATTCAAAATAATTCCAATCTTCCGCTTATTCCGCTAAATGTCCATAATTTCTTAAACTATTTAGAAACTCTAATTTTTAACATTAACCATTATCTTTTAATTGTCCTTGATCAGATGAATCCAAAGTTTTCCGGTCGTTCGGAGAAATAACAGTTTTAAGCTGTTATGCGCGTTTAAATACATGGTCACCTTATTCGAATTCCAGTGGTCTGTATCTATTATCATAATAACTCTTTTGCTGATTCTGTGCCTGTTTAAGTTTTTCTCTTATCATTTCAATCTGCAATGTAGTCTCCTGCACAAAATCCGGACCAAATCTCTTTGTCACCTACCTCAGTCCAACAAGTAGGAGTACGACATCTGATAAGGGTTAGGGTTCGAATACTTTCCAGCATCAGCCCCCTTATGCATGATGCATACGCTTTCCAGCAAGCACACAAGATTGAATAAAAGCTCACTCATTAAACAACTGAACAGTTACATAACATAGTTTAGGCATCAAACTCAACTATAGCATGAGTACTCTATCACCTAGCCAATGATACGTTTAGCTCATGATAAACAAAAGAAAACAAGTACAAAAGATGAAGAACTCGTAAGGAAAGCACAAGTAAAACTATAAATAGTGTTGCTTTGCAATAGCCGGGCGCAAGCTATGCTTATGCCCTGATTGAAATGGATCCTCTCATGTTTTATTTAACATGACCATGTCATGTCGAAGAATCCTAACCATACAAAGGTGAATTAATGGTGATGATTTTGTAACTACCTTCGATATTTTTCTCTTTCTTCCCTTATCACTGTTGATCCACCTTTGTATGATTATGATTTTTCCATATGACATGATCATGTTAATTAACACATGAGATGACCCACTTACTGCCCTGATACAACAAAAAGTGATGCTTCCTTCTAACTCCTCTCTTGTGTGAATTTATCTCTAACTCCTCTGTGTTCTTCCTTCGTCTTCTTTGCGAATTTCTCTCCAACGTTATGTAGGCTAGGTGTTCTTATATATGCTTAACTTTAACTCCAAGTATGATTTATAACTTGAAATATGGAGTTCTAATTCAAATTCCAGTTCTGGGGACTTATCTTCTAACTTTTGTACCTTTTTTCTGCCTTATCTTGTTTTTGATTAGCTTCTTGATGTTCTTTTGATCAATGTTAATAAAACTGGCCCGGCCCGATCGAGTCGATTTGCAAACCGGTAAATCGATCATATAACCAGTCCGGGAAGCAACGGACCAAACCATGCATCAGAACCTGTGCGACCCGACCGTTTTTTGTGAAAATCGGTGACCCGGCCCTGTCCCAATTTTTTTCCTAAAAAGTGTTTTTTTTTAAAAAAAAAATCATAATGGGCATATTTGAGTAATTTTTTCTTATTGACGTACATAGATTGTGTACCTACAACACTAATATTATCTCAATTATGCACTATGCATGAAATTTTGATTTGATTTATAGTTAGAGATGTCATTTACTGAACCTGAAGCCCCGTATCACAATCATTATATTTTTGTTTGATCCTTTATTGGATAATAATGTGTGATTTATTATTTTTTATATTAAAATATTTGAAATTTTTATCATTTTTTTATATATTTGAGTATGTTTATAATTTTTTAATATAAATTATAGAATTGCATATAATTACCGGGTCATGCGGTTCCACTGGTTGAACTAGTGACCCAATGACCCAGTACCTCGACCGGATCAAGGATCGGGCCGATTTTAATAACATTGCTCTTGATAATCGCTTCTGAATTTTGGACTGGGAGGAGCTATTTTCCTTTAAAACAATATCTTAGGTTAGAAACGTTTATCCTTCGATCAAGCGTCATTTGAATTCAAATTATAGCCTTATCTTTATCTTTATGTTATCAATCCTCGTTGCGCACCATCTCGCTTAAGTTCCTTATGCTACGACATTGTTCAGGCTCTACTGCAAGCTTGCAACATAATTTTGCAAAATAGCAACTCAATAAAGTTAACTGTTCAAACCATAATATATTAGTCATATTTATCTAATTAACACTTAGACTTGTCAAAACCCTTAGAAACATGTATCAAGCAATTTCACATCATATTAATCAGGCTTTGAGGTATTTTATGATTAATTTAGGCTGCATTTTCACTTAATTATGTTCAAAATTAACTCTCACTTGGAGAGTTAACAGTGCATACACATGATTTGAATGCGATATTATTGGTTAAGTTGGAATAACCCCTTATTAATTAAGTTTGAGTTCATTATTATAATTAAACAAATGAACTTAACCTAATAATTAACCTATCAATTTGAAGTAATTCATGAATAGTCCAAAGCATATTCATCCTTACTCCTAAATGAGCATGACACTACTAGCCATGATACATGTTATTGCATCACAAGTTTATAGGCACCTTAGGTAGATGATCCACATGAGCTTGTGAGGTTTTCACAGTGTCTTTGAGCCTTTACTTTGTGGTCTCTGTTGTTGTTGCTTATCGTTTCTTAAAGGGCAAAACCTTCAATTACAACAATAGTATTAGTCTATGTATGATTTACAAAATATACTTGAAATTTTTTTATTTGAGAAATTATAAATACTTCTCTTCATACTAAATGCCTAAGGAAAACTAGTTAAAGAGTATTTAGAAATGTTATAAGCCTACCCGGTCATCGACTTGGTCGAGATATTGGATCAGTGGTCAATAGTTAAATCAATGAAACCAAATAGATATATTATATATTTTTTTATTGTTTGAGTCATTGAAATAATGATATTTAAGCCTAGCATTTATTCTATATAAAAGTTCGAAAGTATAAATAACATTAATTCTATACAAGTTGAAAAGTCCACGTTTCTTTAAAGCAAGCGTTAGCTTTGGAAAAACAAGAAAATATCTCAATCTTGAAGTCCTCAATAATATCCAAGATAGCCCAATCAGAGTCACTCAAGTGTTGAGAAAATCAAGATTTGCAAAGGAGGATTAATGAAAACGCTTGAAAGGAGTTAAGAACATCATACTTTCATGAACTTTCCTAAATTTAACCATTCCCTTTTTCCTTTACTACTATACTTAGATGAAGCTCACTTTTTTCCGTCGTGGTTCTTATCTGTAGTTCCATTCGATCTTTCTCTCCTGCATATAATAGATTTCTAGGGTTTTTAGTGAGCTTGAAATTCTGTACACGCAAAAAGTGTTGCTTTTTCTTTTCTTCTTCATGGTGATCGCCTCCGGTGAACGGGTGGACTCCGTTTCCGGCGCCTCTGTTTATTCACCATCTTCACATTCGTTGCCATCATCTTCACGAAACACAATGCGTGTGACAAATCGTCAAGCAACGAATTGGAGTGGTGGACAACACACCAGGTTTGCTTTCTTTCTTTTCTTATATTTATGTCCCTCAACAAACATGGCCCTAGAACACCAATTTTAACTAAATCTATCCAATTCACACTTGATTACATATGAACAAGACCGATCTATTATATTACATAGACTAATTAAATGATCAGTTTTTGGGTTAAACCGACCGATCCATTCTAATTTTAATAACATCGATCTTTAGTAGTAGCTAATAACATTCTAATTTTAATTTATTCATTTAACATTTTTCCTTTTATTTTTTAACCAATCCATATGTATATTTGTTATTAAATGTGGATACGAGTTATTTAGATGTGATTAACTCGAGTAGAATAGTGAATCGTATATTACCATGTTTGGTACAAGGATACAAAACCGAGTTCCCGGATATCCAAGGTTTACCGGTAATCTAATTTACAAATGAAAGTTACTGTTTTGATTACCAAAAATAATGTGGGAATTGACGATTACCAAAGAAGGGAAACCAGAAGAACTCTTTTTGAGACTAAAATACCCCCAACACATATCAACACATAAAAAAAATTAGGGGACGGGGTGGGAATGAATCAACACCTGGAAGAACAGATCAATCAGAATAGATCAGCAAAAAAAATTTCAACCTCGGGAGCAAAACTTTAAGAGAGAGCACAAGCAATGAGAATGGAAGTCTCTAGAATCCAGATCCATAAACGATGGGGAGAACCAAATCGGAGAAACAGAGCCACAAGATCATGTTCTTTATCAGGTTTTTAACGACAAAGGTTTGGGAGATGGAGGAGGCGTCGCAAGCTTCGTCGCGAACCTGAGGAGGCTCCAGCACCAGCACTAGCACCACCGCAAAAAAAAGTTGCCAGGATCAGAATGAAGTGGCATGAATCGGATCCAACCTTTATCTTTGTAATATAATACGTGTACCAATTTTGAAACTAAAAATATGTAGGGGTTATTTTTGTAATAACATTAATACTTCATTCTAAACCAAACATAGAATCAATAATCCTTACCCAATATTCCCGGTAATATTTTGGCGAACCAAACAACTTTTTCATAACATTCCAGGTAAACTCAATTTCTACATGAATTTCCAGTAATTGTGATTTCCGGATAAAAAAAAATTTTCTCTTGTACCAAACACACCCGTAAAGTTGTCTCAAATCTCAATATTTTTTTTTTATTCACAAAACTCCATTTAGAGTAAAAAAAAAAAAAAAAAAGTGTGAATTGGTTACTCAGTATCGTGAATACTCAGTGGTAGGTTTTGGGTGAGAAAGAAGATGACAGAGGTGGCGAGGTCAGTGGTGAACGACGTTTTGGGACAAAGGATTATCGACGTGGATGAGCCAATCGTTGATTACATCGTTAACGTCCTCGCAGACGATGACTTCGATTTCGGACTCGACGGCGAAGGCGCTTTCGAAGCCCTCGGAGAACTTCTCGTCGCCGCCGGCTGCGTCGACGATTCCTCTCACTGTCGCACTGTCAGTTCCCAATTTCAAATCAAATCAATTTATTAATGCTTTTGAAGCAATAACCACATTAATTAACCATTTTTTGGTGTAATTATTGTTATTGATTCAGGTATGTAGCAAGCTATCTGACAAGTTCGGGAAGCATGGTTTGGTGAAAGCGAAACCAACGGTGCGAAGCCTTGCGGCGCCGTTTAGAATGAACGAGGGAATGGACGATGGTGTAGCTCCTAAGAAGAAGCCTGAACCCGTTGATGGTCCTCTTCTATCGGAACGCGATCGTTTAAAGCTAGAAAGGAGAAAGAGAAAAGATGAACGCCAGAGAGAGGTTCAAATTTAAATTCTTTTTTTCCCCTTTTTTCTTGATGGATTTATTGACTATATAGTATATAAAAGGACAACTTAGTGCTATAATGCTCCATATACAGGGTCTAGGAAGTGTAAGGATTTATAATAAGTAACTTTAGGTTGAATTTGTAAGATACATGAATAGAGCATGTTACAAATTTGTTACATGGTAACAATGCTAATCATTGTAAGTGATGATTTATACAGGCACAATTTCAAATGCATTTAGCGGAGATGGAAGCAGCGCGGGCGGGTATGCCTGTTGTATGTGTTACGCATGATAACAGTGGTGGACATACTGTCAAGGACATTCATATGGAGGGTTTCAATATATCTGTTGGTGGCCGTGATCTCATTGTTGATGGTTCCGTCACACTTTCTTTTGGAAGGCATTATGGTTGAGTTTTCATTGTTGCTCTTGTTAACTATATTTTTGCTGTGGACTTGGACTAGAAGATGGTAGTCTTAAAATGAAAGTGTTTTTATGGAATATGCGCAGGTCTTGTTGGAAGAAATGGGACAGGAAAAACGACTTTCCTCAGGCACATGGCCATGCATGCTATTGATGGTATTCCTAGGAATTGTCAGATATTGCATGTGGAGCAAGAAGTTGTTGGTGATGATATAACTGCCTTGCAGTGTGTTCTTAATTCTGACATTGAGAGAACTCAGCTTCTGCAGGAAGAAGCTCAATTACTTGCCAAACAGGTTGAATAGACTGTTTCCTTATGTGTTGTTTTGCTTACAAATTGTATATGCTCTCAAAAATGGGACAACTGAAAATTTTGTGGTTGTTTGTTAGAGGGAATCTGAGGAGAAAATTGGAAAGGGCAATGATAATTTGAATGGAGGGGTTGGTAAAGATGCTATTTCACAAAGGCTTGAGGAAATATACAAGAGGCTTGAGTTCATTGATGCTGATTCTGCAGAGTCACGGGCAGCATCGATACTTGCGGTGAGTTCATTAATGATTTGTGTCATAATTTATTAAAGTCATAAATTGGAAATTCTTCCTATCTCATTATCCATTTGGAGCTTTTTGAATTCTGAATTATAACTTATTTTTATGCTAATTTGTCTTTCACTTTGCCTTATTTATTGGACAATCAATTTTCCAAAATCATTATGTTACTCATCGAGGGTATTTTCAGGGTCTAAGTTTCACTACTGAGATGCAGAGGAAGGCAACAAAAACTTTTTCTGGAGGATGGCGGATGCGAATAGCTCTTGCTCGCGCACTGTTTATAGAGCCTGATATATTACTTCTTGATGAGCCTACGGTGACTCATCATTCTAAGTTTCTTCCTTGATTCATGGATGCCTTATTTTATAGAATTTCAGATTTATTTATTTATTTTTATTTTCTTATTGCAGAATCATCTTGATCTCCATGCTGTCTTATGGCTTGAATCATACTTGGTTAAATGGCCAAAAACATTTATTGTTGTTTCTCATGCTAGAGAATTTTTAAACCTGGTAATATATTGGCTTATCTTTCTTCAATTAGGTGTTTTGTTGATTTAATGCTTTCTCTAAATGTATTCCCAGCATATTTTTTACTTCTCTTGTTAACTGTATCACCAGGTGGTTACTGATATAATTCACTTACAAAACCAAAAGCTGACTACTTATAAAGGAAATTATGATAATTTTGAGAAGACCCGAGAAGAACAAATTAAAAACCAGCAAAAAGCATTAGAGGCAAATGAAAAAGCAAGATCTCATATGCAGGTATAACTTTTCACTGTTAAAGTTATCCTTTTTTATATTGATAATTTATTTTGTTTCTTTCTACCTAATTCTTAATTTTTTTGCATTGTACTATTACTAAGGCAGTGTAGTCACTTCCATGGTGATTGGAGCTAATAGTCTTGGTTTAATTGTAAATATTGTACTTAGCCCATTGCATGTGACTTTATTTTTCTTTAGATTATTGTGATGCTAGTAGCCTAGGAACTATTGGTCAGTCATACTAGTTTACTGGCTTTTCATTTAGAACTTTGCGCATTAATTTGGTAGTGTACACAACCACCAAGCTTCATCCCACTAAGTGGGGTAAATTTGTCAATATATATTGTATTACATTTATTAGATAGGCCAGTTTGTGTTAGAAGTTAGAACTTTAGTAGTAAACTAATTTTCTATCTGTCATCTGATACCATTACCAATATTTTGGGGCTTTTTCCTTTTAATCAAAAAACCTAGCCAATTTTCATAACGTTTTTTTAGACATTTTTTTAAAAAAAAAAAAAACAACTTTTTTCTAAGAAAAAGCATAAACAAACAGGCCCTTTGTCATACATACATAATATGGTACCACAAAGGGCAAACCCTGGTGCACAAGGTTCTCTGACTTGCAAGGGTAGAGGTGAGTATCAATTGAAAAGAAGTTTTTCAAACTCGAACCCGTGACCTCCCGATCACAAGGAGCAGCTTTACTATTGCTCTAAGGCTCGACCTCTCATGATATGGTACCATAAATATCTAAAATATTCTAACAGTTTTCCATTTATGATCCCATGAAAAGATTGCTGAGGTTTGGAATTTGCAGAACTTGTTGTGGATGTGTAGCATTTTATTCAAGATTCTATTTGAGATCTGACGTGATGTTTTACGTTTCTACCAGACCTTCATTGACAAGTTCCGCTATAATGCCAAGAGGGCATCACTTGTTCAATCTAGAATCAAGGTACTTGTTATTGTCAGTTTACCTTCTTAGAAATCAAATGCCCAAAAGTTGTGTGCATACGAGTGTGTGGCATGCTCTCTTTGTATTGTTCAGCTGCTTTCTGTTTTAATAGTTTTTCAGTTTGTTGAAATCCTTGGAACTGAAAATTTCATATCTAATAAGACCTTTCTTTTTTTGATTTTTGTGGAAAAATATTTCAGGCTTTGGAACGAATGGGCCATGTTGATGAAATTGTTAATGATCCTGAGTATGAACTACTATTCTTTTATCACTTATAGCATAAAAATGTGTATATCTCTCTGTTTAGCTCTGTTTAATTTTTTAACTATATTTTTTCTGGTCGGATATAGCTACAAGTTTGAGTTCCCCACTCCAGATGATAGACCAGGCCCACCGATAATAAGTTTCAGGTAGAACATTAGTCCCTTCTTTCACTCACCTTTTGTTACATAAATATAATGTTTGTCATACACAGGATTTAGGTCTTATCTCTTACCTAAACTGTGTGTACAGTGATGCATCATTTGGTTATCCTGGGGGGCCCATTCTATTTAGAAATTTGAACTTTGGGATTGATCTTGACAGCCGTGTTGCAAGTAAGAATGCTTATCCTAGTCCTAGAAATGATTTCTCCTACCTTTTAAATCCTTGATACATTTCTATGATATTTTGATTCAATTTATATTAGCATTGTCTAGTATTCATTATTATGATTACACTGCTTTGTACAATAACAATGTGGTGGACATGTCATTCCTGGTTTGCATCTTTTGGCAAACTAGTATTAAATAAACCCATGTATGTGGGTTAACATGAATCTGCCATATTTTTTTATGTGTTAAAGAATATATCCTCTATGTTTGCAGTGGTTGGTCCAAATGGCATTGGCAAATCAACTATACTTAAGTTAATTGCTGGGGAATTACAGCCCAGTTCTGGGACAGTCTTCCGTTCTGCTAAGGTAACTTTATCACATTGTTAACTAATAAAAGTTACTTCATTTTGCCTGATCTCCATGATATGGTGATACAACCCCTATCTGCTGACTCACCTATTGCAATAGAATATTCTAGAGAACAATTCTGTTAGTAGAGAGAGAATGATTGAGGCAGTTAGTTAGGATAATTATATCAAGGAGGGAAACATGTAAGAGGGTGGGATGGAATTGGATTGGGAACTTGGAAGAGTTTCAGCACCTCTCGAATTTGCTGAACTTTAGCTTTTCTTCTTTTGAGTCGTTTACTGTTCTTGTACTTGAATTCTGTAATTTCTTTTCTTGTTAAAATATATAGAAAATCCAGATCCTTTTCTGGGCCAAAAGATCTCTTGTTTGCTTCTGTTATTTGGTAATTTGATCCAGTTCTTATCATATGGTTTCAAATGTTTTATACTTCAATTTCTACTTCTTACATGACTCTGTAATCAGTGTTTCACCTGTGTTGGCTCTATTTTTTATCCATGATAATGTCCACGGATAAATTCTTAGTATTTGTCTGCCTATGTAAATTTTAAAACCTGTTTATGTAGGATTTGAAAAGGTAATGTTGGAAAAGATAAATAAACTAAGCAATTGCATTTCACTACATGACACTAAGGAACTAGAAATTATCAGAATGGCAACACATCTGTACTTGATCTCTTTTCATGCTTTGATATTATTCTGGATCATTAATCAGACATTTTCATTGGCTTCAGGTTCGTATAGCAGTGTTCAGTCAGCACCATGTTGATGGACTTGACTTATCCTCAAATCCTCTTCTGTATATGATGCGCTGCTATCCTGTAAGTTCCTTGTTTGCAGAGATAGTTAACTGGTTTTCTTAGTGTTTTTTAGAAGTTATCTTCAATTGAATGATTCTTGATTGACTATAACCTGAGTTTCCTTCTAATCACTAATTTTTTTGATGGAAGAGTCAATGTTTAAAATTGTGGTCACGGTCACATTATGGGCCATTGTGGTCTGCAATTGTGTGTTAAATGCAGTTGTGGTAGCCACCTCGATCAATATGTCGCTGCTGCATGTTTTGAGAATTTGAAACCTTAGAAATAATGCAAAGATGAGCAAAATACTAGCCACAGTTGCGTATATGAGAAGCTGATAATTTTCTCATTCCTGGATAAATGCTGGAGTTCTTCTTTTGGTTGCATATGTTATGATTTCTGTTGCCAAGGTGACAATTTACCTTTTTTGGAAGGGGTGGGGATCAGATCAAAATTGTGGATGTTAGGATGTAACATGCTGTTTCTTAAAAATTATTCAGTGCCTGTATTTGCAATTGTATTATTAAATTTGCCTATTTAAATTTTCTGCAGGGTGTTCCAGACCAGAAGCTTCGAGCCCACTTAGGTTCTTTTGGTGTAACGGGAAATCTTGCACTTCAGCCGATGTATACCTTGTCAGGTATTTTCATCGTAGTTCATGCTGTCATCGTCATACATATAATTCATGAATTTTTATAAGATTTTAGTTTGATGATCTTTCAGAACTGCAATAATATGTCAGGATACTCAATGATTGTTGTGAGTTGCTATGGATATTTAGATGTGGCTTTCTGTTACGAATTGAAATGACTTTTTTGAATGCTTTATTAGGTGGTCAGAAAAGCAGGGTTGCATTTGCAAAGATAACTTTTAAGAAGCCACACATAATATTGCTTGACGAGCCATCCAATCATCTGGTAGGTTTCTCCAACATTCTTTATTGCTTATTGGTCGGTTATTGGACCTCTAGCTACTAGTTTAGTATCATATTTTGTTGCAGGGAAAGTATGCTGAATCTATTATTATTGGTTTTTGGTCTTGTTTCTGTTATCTGCTCTCTTTTAAAATGGTATGTGAACAACTTGTGTGAGAAGAAAATAGCTGAAGATCCTATAGGGACATTTGGATCTTCTCAATTAAGCTGCTAACCTGACCTTGTCATTTTAAGTAGATAGACTCGATGCCCTTTACGAAGAAACCTACGTTTCGTGCACAGGGTCCCACATTCTGATAAGTTCTAATTGCTGGTTTATCTCCTAAATGGCAAGATCATGTAAGAGCTATAGTGAGAAGATTAAAATCTCTTATAGTGATATTCCTGGGCATTTTGACTACCGCAAATTCCTTTATGGGGCCTGTTAAACTATTGACTATTTGGCATAAACGAAGTTCACAAATTGATGTAGATAGGAAATTTCAACTTCAGGAGGATTTCTTGGAGTCTTGCACTAGGATCATGGTTGCTAGGCACACACTGCTCAATGCATGATCTAATGAGATTAGACTAATGGACTTGTATAAAATATATATTACATATTGTTTTATGACCTAGTATAGCACTTCATTGTGATGGTGTGACACCTCAGCAGGTGGCAATGCCACAATCAAATCCTTTCAAATACGAGTGAATTCGTCTCCTGCTCTGTAACAAATTGATCCTTGCAATGAAGTTACATTACAGCATGTACCATGTATTTGACTTCATCAAGTGACAATAGAATATAGATCCAAAATTGACTGAGAACGTAATATGTTGTAGGACTTGGATGCTGTTGAGGCGCTAATTCAAGGTCTGGTGATGTTCCAAGGAGGCATTCTCATGGTATGTTCAGTTCTCCCAGTGACACCGTATTCTTTTAATGTTATTTGATTAGATGCTCTAAACAATTTTATATCTGCGTTTTGCCAGGTAAGTCACGATGAGCACCTTATCTCTGGAAGCGTGGACGAGCTATGGGTTGTATCCGAAGGAAGAGTGTCCCCATTCCAAGGAAACTTCCATGATTATAAGAAGATACTCCAGTCATCGTAGGAAAATGAGTTGTAGTTAACATATTTTGGGGATAGATACTACCTTCCTTTCCTAACTAAAGAATACCTGGACGACATTTTTGTGCTGTTCATCTCAGCCGTCATAGATGGGAATATACAAGTTTGCAATTTATCAAAAGTATGCATAAGTAAGACCATTTGAATGCATTTTATCATTTCATAAACAAAATAATTGGTTAAATTAATTAGTAAATAATTTTATATGAAATTATTTTAGTCATAACTTTGTAATTGAAGTTATTATGTAGGTATTAATTGGAGGATATAATTTTATCTTCTACATACACGTTAAAGTGTGGGTTTTTTTTTTTTTTTCTTCTTCTTTTCATACGGCTTTACATGGATTTTACATATTTTTATGTGTTTGTAAGAGATAAAATTATCTCTGCATTACGAGAAACATTAATTCTTGTTATATATTATGTAATAGATTAAAATATATTAGTTGAGTATACTTAAATATGGGTAAAGTGTAACAAATACATAAAGAAATATCATTTACAACAATACCATTTCTGGAATACCGTTCTCTGGCTGATTTGGATTTATATTTGATGCTTTTGAACCTTTGCCTAAGCACATCAATACGTTTTATTTTAACGGACTGGTGTTATCAAGGAGTTTTAAAGTAATGTTATTCTCTATATTATCAAGAAAAATTGATTTTTATTTTCTCTTACTGTACATGTAAACTTTACCATGAGTCCATGAGACCATGACTACATGAAGAGGAAAGCGAGAGAAGGAACTGGGACAGTTCAGAGAATTATTTAAGGCGGGATTGAAAATTATATATTTTACGTTAGTCAAGTTACCATTACTAGTGAATTACCTGTGCGATGCTTGAGAAAAAAGAATGAAATTGTTGTTGGCCGTGGTTGGTTAATTATCGTCTCGGGTAAATCAACACCTTCATCATGATGTGAAGCTCTAAATTTTAATATGCTGGGGATATAAACATAAAGTTATAAATATAAAGGAACAAAAAAACATACATACTACTTGAGAAATATCTGAAATAGAAAAGAATTATCATGCTATTTTGTGGTATTTTTGAACTTGGAAAAACTACAGCATTCACGCTTGAAAATAACAAATTGCCCAATTTTTTTTTTTTTTTTTTTATAACATAATTGCCCAAATTTTCAATGAAGTAAAAATGCGACAAAATCCAAAACATTGCACAACAGTTAATGCAGCCAAAAAATTTCCGCTATTTTTTTTTCCTATCTTGCTTTCCTAGGGCAAAGAGCGACACATCCGGCACCCTACAAAGACCCAAAGAAAAAAAACAATTATAAATTATTTAGGATGAACACTATTCGACAATAGAAATGTTAAATTACTATAGCAACCAATGAATAAAAAAATAAATTATAGGTCGCATTAAATAAATTGCTCAAACATTTGGATTATTTATATACTGCTCATTAAATAGATGACACTCATATTTTAAGGTGCAAAAGAAATAAAATCAAATAAATCTGTACTAATATTTATAAATAGTTTTTTTTTATAACTTATTAAAGAACTAAAGAAATTGGACTAATGGGCCGGATCCTTTACATATGTAGAATAGGCACTACACAAATATCAAAAAAAAGAAAGAATAGGCACTACACTCGCTTGTGCTCTCTCAAGTCTCAACGGTAACCACGGCGCTACTCGAACAAGGATTGCGGCCATTCCCAACGATCTTCTTCTCAGTCTCAGGTTCACGCCTCCTTCTTTTTTTCTCTTTTCCATCCCTCTCTCTCTATATCTTTTTTCCCCTCACTTTTGAAACGCTAGGCCTATGTATGTGTGACTGTACACGTTCGCCAGTAACGGTAACGCACGATAAAACAACACCTTTCAGTTTGTGGATTTGGCAGATCCTGATTATCGTGAATCATTGATTGTTCTACTTGGTTCTTACACCAGTAAATAGTAATGGTCTTTCTTGTTTTAGTGATGCGCAATTCTTGATTGATTTTATCTGCTGATGAAACGGTTATTTATTGGCTTTTGTATAGGCTGATTCAATTTCTCGTATTTGTGAATCTAATTTTTTGTCGAACGTTAATTAATATAACAGTATTGATATCAAAGTTTTATATTTTGCTTTTTCTAGTGAAAGACACATCAATCTCTGCTTTCAATACATTGTGAGTGTGTCCTACCTTTGAACCTTGTTGTTTTGCAACAGGTTGAATTGGAGCTGTGTGTTTTCACCTTCAAGTATCATATAAGGCCTCTTGCTGCATTCCCTGATCAACAACGTTTCTCGGTATGCATCATTCCCAACTCCTCCTTTGAAATCTCTTGACGTTTTTCTGTTTTCGGGGAATGTTATTTTCCATCTGCGTTTTATCTTTTAAAAGTTACTGAAATTATTTTATTATCTTGGGGTTGTATGTATCTTCTTGAACCAATGTTGGTGTCGATTAGTTAAACTTCTTTTAAAATCTTCACTTGTGCTTGCTGGAATGAAAGCAAGACACAGTCCTAGCTTAATTACAACGTGGTTGTGGAACTGCAACGATATCTTGTAACCTTAACCTGATGGTTGAGTTCATTATGATTAGGAAGAGACATTGACAGACAACGGCACATCTTCTACCAAATGGAATAGACAGCATGACTTAATATAGAAATGTTATAATTACAAATGTAAAAAATCAAAGGATATCTCTTACAAATTTTTCATTCATTGACTTCATCTTTTACAACTCCCCTCCCTGACATGAACGTGTATATTGTATATTATTGATATTGACGTCATGTTATCTCAAGTAGGCGCCTCACATGACTTTTGCATTTTCATTGAAATGGCTGAATGAATTTATTCCTTTGCTTTGTATTAATGAAGTTGTCTTAAGAGTTACGACAAGACACCGCACAACGTCATACTACCATGTCCTAGGAGGCAACTCTACTACCGTGTCCTAGGAGGCAACTCTGCTCTGCCCTATTCGAATCGAATCTCCTCTTGCCGGAAAGGAAAGCGTCATTTCAGTTATCGAACAATGTAAGATTTTTTCTTTTTCTTTTCTTTTTTTTTAAAAAAATAAATAAATTTCACGTGCTTCAATTCCCCCTGGTTTTGATTCGTATTTGCAGGGGAGCTTTGAAATTACATCTTCGTTTTTCCCAAAGTGTTGATGGTGTTGCTGTTGACCCTGAAACTGATTGGAGCTTTGATGCTCTTGTTTCCGAGCTTGATGCTTTGGAGATCAAGCTAGCTGCATCTTCTATCAAACTCTGGCCTTTAGATAAAACAATATCCAATTTCAAAGATAGACCCTTCATAATGGGTGTCTATGAGTATGAGATGGAGGACATAAAGAGCGAGGATGATGATGATCATGACAGAGCTTTAGTTGTTGCTGGCAAACGTTTTACTTGTGATGAACTTTATCTGAGGTGTCTATTTCTGAAACCCTAGCTTTCTTCACCTATTTTGAATAATAAAAATGTCAATTTTAAACCCTAACTTCATATTGTTTGTTGATTCAGTTGAATTTTTCTCCATTGGGTGTTTTGAGAGTAATAATTTGCACTTCCTGGGTGTTTCAGTGACAATGATGATTCTGACGTTGCCTCTGGTTTTAAATGCAACCCTACTTGATGGATGAAGTGGGAGATATAGAGGGTTCCTTGTTTGAGTTGACCCATGAACATCAGGTCAGGGTTAAGGTGAGTGATCGTGTTAGTTACCTGTTTTACATTTTAGTTACAATTTGAATAACTTGTCATTCTTTATCACCATATCATGCATGGCGAATTGCAAAACAAACTCATGGTTTTGTTTTACGCTGTATAGTAGACTTGTTTCTGATCTTCTGGATTGACAGGATGAAATTAGGAATAAGATCTCAGCACTGGAGATGGCTCTTGTGAATGAAAGTCAGAATTCTACTTCTTCCCTTCTTCGAGTTGAGAAATATAAAGAAACAAGGCGGGAATTGGATAAAAAGTTTGACACTCAATATCAGCGTCGGATGTAAGTTGTCACAGTCCACCCTCATCCCCTTTTTACTTTTCAAGGCAATATGATTCTTTCCTTCACATATCTGTCTTGTCTGACTTTAATATAAGCAATGACTATGAATTGTTATGGACAAGGCAGGCTACTCTATTATTATGTTCACGTTATCAATGTGTTTTATGAGAGCTTTAAACTATGGATTATTTGCATGAAATGATTTTGTTAATGTGTCATGCCATTTGTGGATATCCATTAAGTATTAATATTTTTTTTTCCCATTTGTTTGGGCTGGAGCATGATATGTTTCACAAAAATACTGTTGAAAGGATACATGTTTAATTTGTTTATAGGAGGAAGACAAACCGTCAGGATGCACATTAATTTAAAGCTGTGGAATCTGATTTTATTTGATGAATACATTTTTATGACTATTGAACTTGAATGTGCTTTTATATTGATGCTATTTCTCATTTTCATAACTAAATTTGACATGCATAGTATGTTTTCTACTTGTTCTCCACCCCCTAAGCATTTTTCTCTTTTTCTTTTATTCTCTAGTGAGATAGTTGCTATGTTTGAACTAGTTGAAAATGAAGAAACTGATGTTTATCTCCCAATTTTTGTAGTGCGGAAGCACTTGATAATCACTTGACAGCTGTTCAACATGACCGTGAACTCAAATCACAAATAGAAGAAAGGAAAATAAGAAGTGATGCAGCTTATGAAGAGGCCAAGAGAAAGGCTGCTTTACAAGAGGAAAAACAGCAGCAAGAAAAGGCTAAAGCTGAAGCAGAGGTACCGTAACTTTATCTTTTAGTTGATTGTATTATTTGGCAAAATATATGGTAGAATATATTAAATATGATTAGATATGATTAGTCTGTAATTATTATGATTAGATATGATTAGTCTGTAATTAATTCTGATTGTATTAGGTTTGTATTAGGTCTGGGCCTTTCACTTAAGCCCATTAGAGTCTCTATATATTGTAACCCTCTAAATTAAATCAATACACAAAATATTATTTTATATTCAAGTTGGTATCAGAGCTCTTTTGTTCTGAGGACCCTCGCTTTCGCTTAGAAACCTTGTTTTTGCTTTAAAACCTAAGCCCACTGCTTAGGGGTCCTCTTTTTTTGCCGTGCGTCCTTCCGGCAAGCCATCTAGGGCTGTAAACAGCTTCTGAGTAATTTTCCAAACGCGTCAGCACCGTCGACGGTCACCGGAACCACCGTCTGTAATGTCCCACATCGGTTGGAGAGGGGAATGAAGCATGCCTTATAAGG